AGCAGGAATTAGCTTTAGAAATGCTTGCAGCAACTCTTATAAACTCCACCCCACAAGCTGAGCAAACACACAAAGAAGGCATGTCCAGAAGCTGGCACTTGGCACACACTACCTGTTGGGCCCTCTGTGACAGCTTTGGCTCTGATCCTGCTTTCAGGCGGACTTGATCCTCTGCTGGAATCTGCACCAAGAGGAAGGCAGCCAAGCTGCGGGCCACCACTCGAAACCTTGCACAGAGAAAAAGACAGAGAGAGAAGGTGATATCAAATTTACAAGTCCTCAACAGTAGATAAACTGGAAGTACTATCTCATGACGTATCTCTTCCATGAGGAATATAGTAAGGGCTTTAGAGGACCTTTTCAATGCATTGGAAAAAAATAAATCATTTTACTATACACATAATAGTATATCATTATGCTAGAGGATAATATAAAACCATACATGTAAAACATTTCAACTGTTCCAAGCTTAGCTGAAGCCTTGAGGTCACATCTGAAATACTCTTTCATTTCACAGCCTTTGAAACATTCTTATCACCCCAATCAAAAGACGTGTTGAACAAGATTAAGACTTCAGAGCAATTTCAGGATGGCATCCCAGAAAGTCTTTAAAAACACCAAGTTACGTTTCTGTACTATGCTGAATGTGTTCACATTCACTTATTGTTCCCTGGCATTCTTTCCACGGTGAACTTGATTTTAATACCTAATAACCAAACTTGGTGTCTCTTTTTAGAAGGTAAAGTGAAAAAAGGGCAAGCTCATACTTCTTTGAGCTTCAAAAAATTCAACGTTAAGATGGAAAAGGCAACACACATGTGATCACACAAAGTTCTTATAAGGTCACCTGCAACAATGCTCTACAGACCAGGTGAAAGTATCTTCCTCTAATAAATCATCTCCCTACAAACTTCACTGGAGATGGACATTAAGCAGAATCACAGCTGCAGTTTCTTTCTTTTTCTACGACAAACTTCACAGATGTTCATATTTATGTCTCAACCAGATTAAAACGCTACATTTCTTTTTCTGCGATGGGCCCAAAATTCTTCACACATTTGAGGACCGCACGGATTCAGAACATCTTCTGGCATCGCACAGTGCCGTCTGGATCTAGGCTGAACCTTTTTCAACACGATGACTCAAATCAATTCATCAACCCTTACCTGGGTGATAAAGGAGACCTCCTGCCTAGTCCAATAGCACCAAGTATTCCAGAAGTCAGTCTCTCTTCAGCCAGCTGACTCTGCCTGCCCTGGATCGACAGCAGTGTCCGAAGGACAGATTCAGTCAGAATGGTGTCATCTTGCTCCAGCTGAATCAAGGACAACTGCATGGCTTTATGCCACCAGAGAAACAGCTTTGCCTCCTCCTTTGCTGAGCTTTAGGTAAGATTCAAAGAATGAAACAAAACACAAGTTTTAAAGAGTCAGGCGCATAGGTTAAGAAATTTGTATCTCTCCATGAAGAACTCAGATGGTTAATGACAGCTAATCTTACTTCATGACAACAGCATAACTCTACTGCCCCACCAGTTATTATACTGCTGTAACTGCTACTGTTGTGGATTTAATGCAGAAATGACCTAGCAGGTTTTAAGGGCCTGTAAGAGGACAAACAACAATGCTTCCTTTTCGGCTTTACAGCTGAGAATAAATGATATTGCAGCCATAAATGGATTTAAATTCATCCAAGATTTGGTATAAAAGGAATTAAGCCGTGTCTCTTACTTTTTTATTTATATATATATATACACACACACACACACACACACACACACACACACATAGTTTACTATTAGCTATTGTTTCCACAACAATTTAGACTTTTAACATGATCTTTTAGGAAAGGAAACACTGAAGATTTTGTTGAGCAAAGCACAAAGTGAAGTTCCCCTTGCGATATTTTTAATTTTTCCCCAAACAGTTTGTAGTTTAAGAAGATCAGATTTTCCACATAAAGCATCAGCACGAGTTTCCTGCATCAGACTATCCTCACATTACTCCACCCAGTCATTTCCCATCCCAGGCACCCTCAGCTTTGATGTTTTAAAGCAAGGTTTAATTTGCTGTGTATGGTGGCTTTGCTACCTCCTTCACACTTTGGCAATCCAATTACTACGGTATCTACAATAGAGAAAGTATTCCTTGAATTTCGAGAAGTGGTGGGAACATCCACTTTCCTAAAATATTCTTTCACAACAAATACTAACATAATCAACATGAATATGGAAAAATATTCACTGCATTTGCTAAACTCTGGCGATTTCAGCAACAGCTCTAAGTATAGTTATTATACGCTAGAAAGTATCATCATTTTATCCCTATGCTTCCCCCATTATCTAGACAGTTGTTTTATGGTGACACAAGGTCCTGACTCTGGATGCCCCTACAGGTCCACTGGGTTCAGATTTGGTTCAGAGCTGCTGACCCAAGGCCAGCAACTGGCTTTGAGCACCAGCTCTCAGTGTCAAACTGAGTATTTAGCACATAACTCATCCCATCTAGTGGGCATTCTGGAAAGTGGAACACACAGTGATCAACTGTTTAAAGTAGTTTTAACTGTGCACAGATCCAGGCTGCCACTGAAAGCAAGCTTCTCTGACTGAAAAATGACCAAAACTGCACCAGAATAAATAAAAGTCCTTCTTCTGTTTCAGCACAACAACTATTAGTGCTGGCACTGGGGTTGGGCAGTGGATAAAGAAGGATTGGCCACTTCAACCAGCAGCCTGGTGAAATTAGCATGGACATGTAATTACAATTATAGCCTTATTTAAAAGTCAAGGCATATTCAGAAGCCTTGAGTTCTGTACCTTGGGTACACTTGCTCCAGCCATTTGTTGATGGTCAGCAGGGTTTTCATTTCGTTGGTAAGAGTTTGGTCAGTGTTTAGGCACTGCAGCAGGTAGACATACAGGGTCAAGTAGCTTCCTAAAGATAGACACTCCTGCAGGAATTCTTCCATGGTTAGCTCAGGAACTTGGAGGGAAGCAAGTATAGGGCCCCAGCCTAAATCCTGGTGGTGAGGATAATCTATAATGAAAACAGAAGGACAGAAAAAAGGGCATGTGAGAAAGTAGCACTTACTAAAACCAAAGAACTAGAGGCTACTTCACTGTGCTCCTGTAAGTTTCAGAGTTTGGGCTGGTGTAGCTGTTTTCCAGATAATCAGTTTGTCACGCAACTCTGATGGAGAGAAAAGAAAAACTTCACTATCATAGGGCACCTCTTTGAGTTCAAAGCAAAACATTTTCCCAGCATTCAGTCAGGGCTAAATTTGAAAATTGCAGGAATGAGATTTTCAGTATTTCCTTCAGGTGTACTGAAATCTGATCACACAGAACGCGGAAGAAATCAAAACGCAGTTCTTCAAGGATTACCTACACAGTACGTACATAAACATGTTCTCTAGACTCTTCACCGACCTCATTGCTTAGAGAAGAGCAACGAAGCTGGTGAAGGGTCTGGAGAAGGAGTCTGATGAAGAGCAGCTGAGGGAGCTGGCATTGTTTAGTCTGGAGGAGGCTGAAAGAAGACCTCATTGCTCTCCACAACTCCCTGAAAAGCAGGCTGTAGTGAGGTGGGGGCTGGTCTCATCTCTCAAGTTACTAATGATAGGACAACAGGAAATGGGCTCAAGTTGTGCCACGGGAATTTTAGATCAGATATTAGGGAAAAAATTCTTTATTGAAAAAGTGGTGAAGCACTGGCACAGGTTGGCCAGGAAAGTGCTGCAGTCACCATGCCTGGAAGTGTTCAAAAAACCACGTAGATGTGGCACTTCAGGACATGGTTTAGTGGTCATGGTGGTGTTGGGTTGACAGTTGGACTAGAGGATCTTAGAGGTCCTTTCCAACCTTAATGATTTTATGACTCTATTCTAAAAAAAAAAAACACCAAAAACCCCAAACCCTTCTCTCAGAGTGACTGGTTTTTTTAAAAAACCTTTAGCTGGAAAAATAGCAACCATTATATAAAACAAATCAATTTTCACAGAGAAAGGTATAGCTCTTCAGAAAATACACAGTCAGAGCAGCTGAAAAACACAAACAATGGCCTAACCCTTTTACATCTAGTTCATACAGCACATGTAAGTGCGACAGTTGGGAGCCATCAGATACAAAGAAAGTTCTGATTATGGAAAACAGATGAAAACCCAGCTGCATGAAGCCGTAAGAATTCCAGACTATTTATATTTAATGGGCATCCAAGACTGATCAAAGCTTCTGAGACAAGCAGAAGCAGAAGACAGGCTCCTACCTTCGTTGAAGTAAGCAGTGATACAGGCTTCTGTCGTCTCTGCCATGTGTCGCACAGAGGCCAGGCTCTGACACGCCGCTGTGAGAAGGGGCATTGCGAGCACCCCATGGACTTTGCCGTCAACCCACTTCCGCAAGCGGCCCCGTAGCGACTCGGCTGTTGTAATGCTAGAATTGTTCATCATCATCAGCATTTCTGTAAAGAGGCTGCTGAGAGCCATGTGACGTGTTTGCAGATCCATACCTGGAAGTTAGAAAGTAAAGAACCACTTCAGTGAACAGATACTAGAATCCAAATTCACCTTCACCACCAAACACCTTCTGTAGATACTGGGAAAAGCTTCTTGCTCATTCCACACCTCAGTTTCTTCTCTGTACTTATGAAACAACTCTACAACTACCTGAAAGGAGGTTGTAGCCAGGTGGGGGTCAGTCTGTTCAACCAAGTAACAAGTGATAGGATCAGGGGAAACAGCCTTAAGTTGCAGCAAGGGAAGTTCAGATGTGGTATTAGGAAGAATTTCTTTACTGAAACGGTGATCAGGCACTGGAACGGGTTGCCCAGGGTGGAGTCCCCATCCTGGGAGGTATTTAAATTTGTTTAGATATAGTGCTTAGGGATATGGTTTAGTTGAGGACTTGTCAGTATCAGGTTAATGATTGGACTCAGTGACCTTATAGGTGTTTTCCAATCTGGGCAATTGTGTGATTCTGTGCTATGTAGTCTCTTCCCTTGATGAGATAGTTCGTTAAACAGAGAGACAGCTGGTAAGACTGTAGCTCCGGGTACACTGGAACCCATCTTTCACCAAGGGTCTTTTACCATGACTACTACTACACAAATAAATTGAATGATAAAACATGTTTACAGAGTCCAAGAAAACCTGGGTGTTGAAACACAGTTTAAAACACAGCTTAGAGTGAAACAACCAACATTTTAGATGATTCAATTTGAGATATAATCAAAACAAGCCCTGAAATGTTGCAATCCCCTCATGCTTTTCTTGGATTCTAGATTTCATACTAATCCCAGTGTCATTACCTGAACATGTTATCATGGGACACCTGTAACAGTACTGCGAAAGCACCAACTTTTCTTGCACTTGGCTCTTGCACCTCTAACTACAGGGTACCCCTTTGCAAATATTGATGAAAAAAAGACACTATTGTTATAAAAGAAAATTTTCAAGCAACATCAAACATTGTAGAAGGAATAATTTCAACTGGTTATGAAAAGTTGTGTGTGAAGAGGAATTATCAGTAGAAAAACATTGTGCAGAGAAGTCAAGACCTCCACACTTGCAGATATTTGGAAGCTCGCCAGACAAGGCCCTGAACACTCTCACTTAACTTTGAAGTTAGCCCTGATTGAAGAAGGAGGTTGGAATCCAGGCTTCCAGAGGTCCCTTTCAAACTAAGCTATCTGTTATAACATCTACCTATTAACAGAAGAGGGAAAAAAATAAAAAAAGAGAAGCCCCGGAAGTCACCTGTTATGGCGCAGATCTATCTGCCATGGCACAGGTCTCCAGTAAAGTAAATACCTTATAAACATAGAATCATTAAGGTCAGAAAAGACCTCTAAGATCATCTAGGCCAGCAGTCAATCTAACAGACCAAATGGAAAAGACAATGCCAGGATGTTAACTAACTTACCTAAGGTCACAACTAGTTTTACAGCCAAGTCCCACTTCAGACCACCACCAGATACCTGACACCAGGGCCCCCCAGATTCCCTGGGCTAAGTTCTGGTGCAGAATCCATGTGGAAAGTTCAACTTTGCCTTCTCTGGCTGTCATCAACAGAAGGCACTGTCCCAGAGGATCTTCCAAAAACCTCCACCAGCCCTCTCCAAGGCTCACAGAGAACCTAAATCCATTGCACACCACCCCTTCCTTGCCACTCTGCACCAGTGATCCTCCTGCACTTCACAGCCTGGCTGAGCAACACAGAACATCTCTCTTTCAGCCCTTGAACACATACAAGGGTACACAAGGGTTCATGAAACAGAGCTGTTCCTCTTCTACCAGACCTCCTGTCTCCTGCCAAATCTCTCAGCTACAAGAAGCATCAGGAGCAACAGGCAAGTCTGCCTCTCTTCAAATCACAAAGAGTTTTGTGGACTGTGGGGCTTCCCCAAGCTGCAACACAAGTACTGAGAGACAGTTATCACTCTCACAGATTTCTAGACACTTTCTGTTCAGTCTTGCTGGCATGCCCGTGTGGGTCATGAACAATATAAGATACTACCCCTGACAAGTATTTCTACATAGTAAAGCAGGATGACTGATTTCACATGTTTTGGTTTGTCAGAGGAAGCTAAGCATGGTAAGGGTATGAAAAATAGATCAATGTAAAGGTTGTGGGTGCGGACACATCATACTACTAATGTACATCAACATAATTCCCCTACTTCAATATAGTCAGTTTTCCCAACTGAAAAAACAGTTTAGAAGCCTTACTTAGAACCTGGTCCCTCAGGAGCAAGACAGTTTAATTGTGTCACCCTTCCTTTTAAAAGAGATGCAAGTGCCAAATAAAATAAAGAATAAACTATATGACAAAGAAAAGAAGCCCTCAAGCTCCAGCTAGTTTTAGTCACAACACTACCCCTGTTTTTCCTGTTCGTTCTGTCACACTTGACAGCTCTATGGGGTAACGCTCATATTTTCATTTTGTGCTAATATACCACCTATACACACATCATCAAAGCAACATGTTCTGCTGCCCATAAGGGAGAGACTGTAGTAACGCAAGTAATTACACAGTCACGGATGCTCGAGAATGCATGCAGTGGAATAAAGAATCTTGACAACTTTAAATTAATTTGCCACTTCTTTAACACAAACCTGGAGGATTAAAGATGATTATATCATCCAGCAACTTGGACATTTCTTGTTCCAAAACTGCAAGAGTGATCTTTCCACTTTGTTCTAAGATGCTGAGAAATTGAACCGCCTGGCGAATGTATGCTCGGCACTTAAGGGTTGCATCCTGTTCATCAAAATTAAAATCAGTTAGGAAAAAAAAATCGTGCCTAGAACTCTATCCAAACTCCGTAATATACAAAAGCAGAACATTGCAAATAGCAAGAAACAGCCCAGACACACTGAAAAACCAGTTTAGCTTACAAGGTGGATGTGACTATCTGAAGATGCACCAAAGCCTGCTGAGATTTTCAGGAGCTTCACTATCAGTTCAGCCGCAGCATCCTTGGCAAGGATAACAGAGGGAGGGTAGTGACTGTTGCAGTAGCTGATGATGCTTTGATAAGATGAAATGCCCACAAGCTGCCAAGGAAGGGAGCTGGTTTGTCCAAGAAGATTTATGAGTGGTGATTCCTGAAGATTTAAAGACATCAGTTTAAGTTTCCCCTTCTTTGCTGTTTTAGATTAATATTCACAGTAACCAGTTTTGGAAGGAAGCCCTAACTTCAAAATTTGAAGGAGACAGAGCAAAAACCCCAGAGATGACCAGTGGAAGACTGACCGAGAAGCAACTCCTCACTCAAAGAGCAAGCCTAGATGTGTGTGTCATCTCCAGCATTCATGTAAGAGCATTCAGAATGATGCCTCAGCTCTAACCAAGCACAAAAGTCAGAAAGAAACGTTAAAATTTGATATGTAAACATGCAAAGACAGGTAGAAAGAAACTGAGACCCTACAAGGTAAAGTCACTTCAGCAGAGATTTAAAAAAAAGGCATTAAAAACGTTACACGAAAAATTGATCAAAATTTACAGTAAAAGCAGGGGCAGAAGCCATATCCCACGATCTTCCATTCAATGAATCATCTGCCAAGCTGAGGGGGTTCCTCAAGTGCTTATTCCCATAAATAACACCCTGAAAAACACAGTAGCCTGCAGTGTCCACAGCTCACAGAGGCAGTGCAAGTGTGCAGATGCAGAAGTCTGTTTGTCTACAAGCAGCAAAATCTAACCTCAGCTACCATCATCCTCCTCTCACAGGTTCATACAGCTCTGCAATACAAAACGGTCCCCCCAGACACTGAGAAGCACCGAATTTCCACACGTTAGAGAATGGGCAAATACTACAATTGTGTTGATGGCCAACATGACCTACAAACTTTAAGGATCCACAACTAATCCAAATTAGACTGCATCAACAAGAACATGACACTGGTACATCAAGTACTTCACCAGTTGCTCACGTACTTGAACACAGGGCTGAGAAAGTTTGAGATTTAGGTCAAGGTGTCACAGGAGTGTTCAGGGAGGTAAAAAACAAGTGACAGTGTGTCAGTTTAACACATTGCTGAGGGCCAGGAGGGAATTCCTGAGGCTGACTCATAGAATGTACAAACAGGTATCTTTGAAGATTGAGAAGCTTCTGATAAGCAAGTACATTCGGGTCAAAACACGTGAACTCTGGTAATTTTCCTAAACTGGAACACAACATTGATCAAAGGCCACTGGTGACAACCTAACACAGCATCTTGTAATGCCTCCGAGGAAACAGAAAGCTGAAGAAACTACAAGTGGAATAAAGCTGGTGAAATGGAGTCAGGCTCTTCTCAGGGATGTCCAATGACAGGACAAGGGCCAACGGGTGCAAGCTGCAGCACAGGAGGTTCCACAAAAACATGAGGAAAAAATTCTTCACTGTGAGGGTGCCAGAGCCCTGGCCCAGGCTGCCCAGAGAGCATTTGGAGTCTCCTGCTCTAAAGACTTTCTAAACCCACCTGGATGCGTTCCTGTGTGGCTGCCCTGGGTGATCCTGCTCCGGCCAGGGGGTTGGACTAGATGGTCTTTCAAGGTCCCTTCGGACCCCGAACATTCTGTGATTACTCAGCCCCTCTGGAAGAGCCCTCCAGAAGCAACGGACTGAATGGGCCAGTCCTAGATCTACCCACATGGAGTTCTAGGAAAAACCAGGGCTTGGAAAGTTCATGCTAACAGTCAGTGTTTCTCTCTCCTTTTCCAACAACCCAGAAATACTGGAATGAAGCCATAAATGGAAAAAAGCTGAGAAAACAGAGATGATCAAAAGCCTCCTTCAGGGCAAGGGAACAAGAAAAATCAAACTAAGATTCCACAGATTAAGTAATCTGTCCCCAGTAAGGCATAAGCAGCAGACTGTACCAAGCTTCTTAAAGATATATCTGGTCTTCCAGATATTGTTACATCATTGTGTCTTGTCATCACATCATAAGGAGTTAGGAGGGGAGCAATTTACAGTAGGAAATGAATGTCTGCAAAAAGCAGTCGTGACTAAGGATTGAACAACACTTATTTATGATTCCTGAAAAAAAAAACCCTACTGAAGTAGACAAATAAGTACTTTATCTTTAGACAGCTATGAAGAAAAATAGGCACAGATCAAGTGCTACCACTAATCTAACAGAGACTAACCCCACTGTTGAGCTGCACTCAACACAATCAACTTAAAGCACAATCAGTACTGAAAAAGAGGTTGGAAAACACCATGAACATACCCAGCGAGTCACAGACCCAGGCATAATCTTTTCACAAATGCATTCACGTTTGCCACTCAGAAAAAGCAGCAAGGCACAGCGGAGACGCACAGAGCTGGCCATGACAGAATAAAAGTGACTCAGTGAACTTTCTGGTCCTTCTCACAGCACCTCAGGTGCTACAGGCGTGAATGCCATGGCCAAAGCTGCTCCTGCACTCCTGTCAAGACTGCTTGAATCAAACCAGGCAGATACCAGATGCTCTTTTCACTCAAGCCATCAGAAAAAGCTTCACCTTAAGTTACACAAAACATTGCATATGCATATATATACACACAAGACACATGCACCTATACAAGGTCCATATAATGTGTGTATATATATGCAGATGTATTATAGGTGTGTATGTAAATTCTTGCTAATACTACCTCTCTTTCGCATGTGCTCACAACTAAGGCTCTCCAAAACCATGAGAGAGAAAAGAAAACGAGCATTTTAACTAAGAGTTGGCCTAAAAGACAAGAAAGCTGTACTACACAGCATCACATATGTAACAAAATGAAAGAACAACTGCACATCAGCTTTATATAACAACAATAATTTGTTATACACTAAGGAAACTAACATCCATGTTTTTTCTTCCCAAAACCCAGAGTGTCACTTTGTAACTACTGGAAACTGTATTTATTTGCTTTCTCTTTACAAGGCAACTAGATTATAGCACCTGTAGAAGCTTCTTAAAATGAGCAGCAGCTCTGCTTTTTCGCAAGAGTTACATAAAATGCCGCCCAGAACAAATTAGTCTTGGCAATTTCTGGAATAGTACTTAGGGTATTTTGCCAATGCAAAAAACACTGAGTTTACTGTTGAGAAAGAAGTCACAGCCTGCGCCCTTGCTAGCCACAGATTATTACTCTTCTCAGACAGGTCTGAACTTTTAAAAAAATTACCTCTTCGCCTACAAGTTGTTCCTCCTTTCCCAACAGGACCATCATATACAGCAAACAGACAATCATGCTGTGAGTCTGAGGATGAGGGTTGGGATTCCAGGCATCAGAGAGAACACTGACCCAGTTTATTTCACACAGAATATAACCCAAGAAGAGGAAACAACTCTTGGGGCTGCCTCTTTCAATCTAGGAAGGAGAAAGGGAAAAGAAAAAAAACCAGGCCTGTAAAGTACAACATAAATAATTCTATACATTTCAGTTCCTTAACCTAGAAAAAATCTATTACAAACTCTTAGCTGCATGATAGCATCCACTTCTCTTCACTCTAGGGGAAACTAAGAAACTCTTCATGCAGTTCTAAACAGGCTCAGAACTCATCCCAAACAGCTAAGTAGTAAATCCTGGAGCATTTCCACACCTACCTGCAGCTTTATGTTGTCTCAGACAACTTGGAAGTGAGAACAACATGGCAACAGTAAATGAGTAAATACCTTAACTGTAACTAAAACATATTAAATATAGTTGCAATAAACAAGATATTCATATAAAGCAATGATAGGTTACAAAGACTGCCAGCTTTACAGCTCCCCACAACTTTGTCTAAGATTCAGCAGAACTCCCTCACAAAAAATCAGTCACAAGATGGGCATCTGTGAATGCTGCAAACTCTGAAAGTTTACTTGCTAAATGAACTGTCTCCAGCTCTCCAGTTATTTTCAAGGGCAACAGTGATTACGAACTTAATTCAATAGATGCTGTGTACTCACTTTAAAGAACTCTTCCATAAGCATCTGGTCTGGATGCATTTCTTTCCAAGGAAGCCTTCTGAACTCAGTATGGTAACTATAGAGAATAAACTCGGGCATTTTGGGGGCTGTGCAGCATTCACAGTAATGCATTAGATGTAACCAGAGAGCCCCATGGTGGCTTGGCAACAGCTTATCTAGATTCAAAGAAAACAGTCGAATTAATAGAATAAAAACTCAGGGAAAACTTGATTACAGAAGGAAGTCCAATTCTGAAGATGAAAAGCCGTAAATGCAAGTTACGCTAAAATATATTTGTCAAAGAAAAAACAAAACACACATTAGGCTTTTAGAGTTTTTTTCCCCAAAAAATCCACAAATTGGGGAGCTTATGATTTTGTGGTCTTCCTTGATCTTTTGAAGAGCTGCTGGACAATGATTTGAAGTTATAAAATACACCTCCCAGGTAGAACTTCATTGCCTCTATGTTTTGTTGTTTTGTTTTTTAAAAACCCACAATCTTATGTATCTTGAATTTTATATAACACATCATATATGTTATCTTTAATTCTTTATTTTTACAAGATAAGTCTGAATCTAGTTCATGCCTCAAATTTAGGAAGTATTATGAAATTAATTTTTTCCATTCCTATGTCTAACTACACATTAGGCACAGTGCTAAATAGCAGCTCAGAATGATCCACCCTGGAGATTAGATTAACCCCAAGACTGCCTGTTGAGTCACATTAATTTGTTATCATGACATAACACTGCATTGTTGTGTGGGAACAATATACAGACCTGGAAGAAAGTCACACACCGCTATCTTCGTTTTGCTTTCCTATGCATTAACTTTTACCCGACCAATGTGCATTTATCCATCATGTTACCTATCCTTTCCAGTCAAAAAGCTGTCTTTTAAGGATGAAATAAAGAAATGCTCCTGGTATCACTGCAGTGATGATCTTGACTAAACATTAATAATAAACAAAATCCCCTCACATCCCACATGTCAATTAAAAAAATTAATCTATTTTTGGTCCTATGAAACAGAAAGTGTTGCTGCATTAAAACAGAATGAACTTTACCCACCTTTAAAGCTCTCGTGCAAAAGCTTGATGCAATCTGCAAACAAACACACCATGGTGGATGCTACAGGGGTGTCACTCTCCAACCAAGGGTAGCAGGGCTGGTTACTTGAAAGAAGCAGATGTGAAACACCACAAATTTCAGTTCAGAGTTAGCAGATCATAAACACTTGAGCAACTGGAACAGACACTGGAGTCCTAGTGGGCAGAGAGTTGTCCCTGGGACAGCAACATACCCTTGTGGCCAAGAGGGCCAATGGGATCCTGGGGTGCACAAGGAAAAGCGTGTCCAGCAGGGCTAGGGAGGTTCTCCTCCCTCTCTACTCTGCCCTGGTGAGACCACACCTGGAATACTGTGTCCAGTTTGTGGCTCCCCAGTTCCAGAGAGACAGGGACCTACTGGAGAGAGTCCAAGGGAGAGCTACGAGGGTGATCAAGGGACTTAAACGTCTCTCCTGTGAAGAGAGACTGAAACAACTGGCGCTGTTCAGCCTGGAAAGAGACAGCTGAGAGGGGACCTTATTAATGTCCAGAAATATCTGAGGGGTGAGTGTCAAGGGGAAGGGGACAATCTCTTCTCAGTGGTGCCCAGCAATAGAACAAGAAATAATGGATTTAAGTTAGAACACAGGAAGTTCCACAAAAACATAAGGAGAACATTCTTGGCTGTGCGGGTGCAGAGCCCTGGCCCAGGCTGCCCAGAGAGGGTGTGGAGTCTCCTCTTTGGAGACTTTCCAACCTGCCTGGACACGTTCCTGTGGGGCTGCCCTGGGGGATCCTGCTCTGGCAGGGGGTGGCACTGGGTGATCTCTAGAGGTGCCTTCCAACCCCCAACATTCTGTGATTCTATGAAAGCACAGTAAATCAATATAGTACCAGTACCAGCATTTTTCTCAAACTCAACTCTTTAGGACTGTCCTATTCTCCCTTAGAACAGGTACACATTTGAAGGCCACACTGGAGATCCACAATACCACCAGGTAAGCAGAGATTACTTGTTTAATATTTAGAACTCTTGTTTAATATTTAGGACTGAATTAAAGACCAAAATGCAAGAATTTCTGAATAACAGCACATACCACCTGCAGTCATTCTTGTAATTACTTGGTGAAGATGTGCTCAAAACTCAAAAAACCTCAAGTTTTGGAAGAAAGCAAAATTTAAATGTGTCATATTACAAATAACTGTCCATGTGAAGATAGAAGTACATGAGACAGTGGATTATAGGACTGATTTAGTCTGAAGTTTCTGTATGTACCACTGGCATTTGGGGTTGCATTTATTTTGCTTTTTTGTTTTGTTTTTAAACAAGGCATTATAGACCTTATGGAAGCTAAAAAAGATGGAATCTAGAAATCAAGTTACAGGGTTTTCAGAACTGATGGAAATCCACATTTTTCTCATAACTAAGATCTGGTCAGGAAGCAGAGATATTTCTTGTACCTAAAATAATTACTCAATTCAAGGCTTGGAAAATTTGACTTAAGGTGTTTAGTTCTGTGGGGTTGTGGTCAATGGCTCAACATCCAGATGGAGATGAGTAACAAGTGCTGTCCCTCAGGGGTCTGTACGTGCTTAATATCTTCATCAATGACATAAACAGTGGGATCGAGTGCACCCCCAGCAGATGGCACCAAGCTGAGCGGTGTGGTCGACATGCCAGAGGGATGGGATGTCCTCTAGAGGGACCTGGACAAGGGCCCATGTGAACCTCATGAGGTTCAATTAGACCAAGTGTAGGTCCTGCACCTGGGTCAGGGCAATCCTCATTATCTGTAGAGTTCAGGGGATGATGTTCTAGAGAGCAGCCCTGCAGAGAGGGACTTGAGGGTGTTGGTGGAAAAGAAAGCTGAACACGAGCCACCAGTGATGCGTGCTCACAGCCCAAGGGTCAATCCCATCCCGGGATGCCTCAGAAGCAGCACGGCCACCACATTGAGAGAGGTGACTCTGCTCCTGTGCTCTGGAGTGCTATGTCCAGCTCTGGAGCTCCCAACATACAGACATGGACCTCTTGGAGCGGGTCCAGAGGAGGCCACAAAAATCAAAGGGCTGGAGTTGGGGCTGTTCAGCCTGGAGAAAAGAAGGCTCCAGGGAGACCTTATAGCACCTGCCAGTGCCTGAAGGGGCTACAGGAACGCTAGGGAAGGACTTTTTACAGGTGCGTGTAGCAACACGACAAGGGTAAATGGTTTTAAACTACACCAGGGTAGATTTAGATTAGATACCAGGAAGAAGGTCTCCACCATGAGGGTGGCGAAACTCTGACACAGGTTGCCCAGAGAGGTGGTGGAGGCTCCATCCCTGGAGACATCCCAGGTCACCCTTGATGTGGCTCTGGGCAACTTGATCTAGTGGAAGATGTCCCTGCTCAGTGCTGGGGGGTTGGGGTAGATGACCTGTAAAGGTCCTTTCTAGCCAAATGCATTCTCTCATTCTATGATTCTAATTATTAAGCATGACACAAGTAACAGCTATTTAAATGAAAGTTCATAATACAGTCGTGAATTAGAAAAAGAAACAGGTAACAATCAAAGTCATTCTTACAGGACCAAAGTACCTACTTTAACTTTAAAAATGCAATACATACCTTGAATCTTCCTTATCCAAGACCAGTATCCATGGTTTAAAGAGTCCAGCAATGACCAAATACAAGGACTGCAATGCTAGAAGAAAACAAATCAAAAAAGTTGGGTTTTTTCCTTCAAATCAGCAATATCACACTTTTCCAAAGTTGAATACAGTGTCCTTTACTTATTCCAACATTTCATCAGTTCATCCTGGTCAAATAAATATCTAAAACATAATATGCTTATTAATAAATGTGGTTAAAAATGTTTTATGTTATGACAATAATCTTATGCAGTTACGTTGTTTAGATAAAACTTGAACAAACCTGAGATTGGGTGGGTAATGATGATTCACACTTTAAATCAGTATATACTAAAATAAAAGGTGTTTTGTTGATTCTCTCCAAGTCAAAATCACATATGATGAAATTCAGTATTCCCTTATTCCCAAACATCTGCCCAGTGCAAAAGACTGTATTTTTATTTGAAGAAAGTATGATCTCTTCATAAAATAATTCTAAAGCAAGTTCAAATATAAACAAGCTTCCTCCAATAAACGTAAAGCATAAAGTCCCTCACAGCCATGGAGTACCACCAACATTTCCCATTCGTAATGTTCTCACGATCGTGTAAGTGCTGAGTAGGAAGATTTTTATCATGTGTTTAAATGGTCTTTAACAGAGGAAATTAGATAAACTGAGCAAATGTTCTTCAGTAATTTGCTTTTAAGACACACTACCTGCTAGAATTCTGTTACTGCCAATAGGCTCTTGGGCTAAATTGGCAACTTCAGTATCAATAAGTCGTCTAGTAAGATACTCCAAAAATTTGTTCACTTCAACCACATAAGGACTCCACTTTGAAAACAAGCCAAACGTCCTGAAGTCCACTGAAGCCAGTCGGAGTTTGCAGAAAGATGTGGAAAGCCATTCTACTGTTTCTCGAACCTGTAAAAAGAAGAAAACTATTAATCAGCTACAGAAGGACTGCACAGCAGTGTTATTTGTCACTGGTGGGCATCTGCTTCAGCTGAGAAACATAATAAATCAACCGAAGAGGCACCCACCTGTTCTACAGAGAGGAGAATTTTTGCAGCATCCCGCAGTACGGGATTTTCAGTCGAATCACTTTTCTTGAAGCTTCCCTGTTCAGTCACTGGTGAACCACATCCCAAAGCTTTAAGTGATACCTTCCAACAGTCAGGGCTTAGAAGCTGCTCTGATGAGCCTTAGGAGAAAGAGAAGGGAATGCTTTTGTGAAAGTCAGGAGAAGAATGTTAGTTCCTTTCTCAATACCAGTCAGCAAAGGTTGAAATAAGAGCTCCCTGCTACATTAAAAAAAAATAGGTAAGGCATAAGTTTAGAAGGTCCATGTTTAAGGGTGAGAGATGTATCTAATTCCCAAACATAAGTAATTCAACATTCCCTTTTGGCATCTACATGCTCTCTTAAGAAGAGTTTCCCAGGCACTTAGTACATCCCTGACCACAAACACATATTGAGAGACAGTTGCTGCCTCGGCACATTATGGTCTGACTGTAAGAAAGTGATCCTGTCCTCATTTTAGAAGCCCAGCCGATTATAGGTAGCATCTAACGTCAACCATGGCATTTTCAGCAGATTTCAGTATCAGTTACACGTTTCCATCTTCCAGTTCTCAGTTTGACACTGAAGGGTGCTCAAGGACAGGGACGCTGCATTACAGACAGTGGCAGAATTACAATTAATGCGTGCTTCCATTAATAGAAACCTCTCCTCCATCCTTCTCCCACAACACGGGCTGAAAATCTGTTGCCACTGATGCACGTGCTTTTATCTGCATACAAGTGTCTTTCGAGCAGAGCTAAAATACTTCTCATAAAACCATATCACATAGCATGCACAAAGTGCACAGAGAACCGAGAGACAGTTTAAATCATTCCGTATTTGTTGCTATTTTACACCACTGCACGCAGTTCACGTTTTTAAGCCAGAGGAGTTGTGTACAAAAGGCTTAGTATGCATCAATTCACATACTCACTTTGCACAATCAATCTTAGGAAATCACTATAGTGATCAGGGAACTGATACTGGAGAAGGTTAGTCCAATGTTTGCAAAAGATATTGAATGGCATCAAAAGATCTTCTTCAGGCTCTAGGCCACACGCATTGAGAGCCAAGTGAATAGACTCCAGGAGCTTGGTACGTTCAGACAGAGGTGGCTTAGCAACACTTAACCATTGTGTAAGGTCAAACTAGAAAAGAGTACAGGAAGCATTTGTAAGTAGAATCTTTAACAGCCACTATAGCTTTAGAAGAAAGGAGAAATTGGCAAGGGGGAAAAAAAAATCCTGAAGTTTTTATGTATTTAAGAAAAACCTTATGAATTTGCACCTCATTAGCCCTAATTCAAAATCAAGGGTAACAGTCTCCAAAGGTTATGATTTTGCATTTTGCAAAAGTCCCTGAATTTATGAGAAAACCCTTGGTAGGGTTCTCAGAGTCATACAGACATGCATGAATTTCCACTCTTCAGTATTATCGTCAAACACACACTTGCAACCATTAGACCAGGTTAATCTCCATAGTTCATAAATATCCAGGTGAAGGTGCAAAGCTTTTGTGGTCTTCAGGTCATCTGATCAGACCTAGGTAAAAAAAGCTGACGACTACCAGCAAGGACAGGTAAAAATAATGCCCAAAAACCAGGCTGCCTGCTATTCACAGCCACTGAACCCTGTCTCTGTGTAACTAATGAAGAGAATCAGAGCCATATCAAAGCCTAACAATAATTTCTCCACTGATAATAAGAGGCCGGTAGCATCTGAAACAAGAGATGTGCAAATCTCTGCCTCTTACCCAACTCTGTATATTTTAAGATGGGCAGGAAGGACTCAGATACCAAAAAAAAAAAAACAAGGAAGATTGAGACACTGCTCCAAATTTTCATTTGTTTGGTTTTATTTTTAAGATCCCTGGGATTCATTTTCTATTTCCCTAAGTGTTTCTGCAGAGATACCAGACAGAAGAAGCCCTCAAGAGCCTGCTTTAAGTTCATGACTAAGAGTGCAGCAAAGAGTGCAGCCCTAGGAAGCACATACTGGTACTACCTGGGCTATGAAAAGGCAGTTAAAGCTTCCTACTGCCTTTAGCTTTCAGCTCTTCCTGAGCTTAAATACAACAAAACCCATTCAGGACAAGCAACACAGACCTGCAGAACTTGTCAATGTTATTTTCAAGTACCACATTTGCACCTCTTTCTTCCTTAGCCTTCAGTCACATTTTTTAGGGGAAGAACACCCAAAAAAGCGACCCACAAACTAGACACGGTATTCATGAGTACCCTACCTTTGTCAGCAGCATGAAGACAACATCACTGTTGTCCTCGCTCAAAAAGGCCACGACTTTTTCATATAAAGTTACAAATTCATCGGGAGAGGCAACAGGAGTGAAGTAAGGAGAAAGAAGAGTGCAGAGCCTTCGATTCTGCAGGATTGTCTGGAGGAGACGTTTGCATTCCGACTTGGTCCCACTGATGAACACCTGAGGAAATTGGGAACAGTGAGAAAAATTGGCCAGTGCAAATCGACTAGAAAACGCACCTCTTGTGCTTGTCTTGACAAAAAGCTTTAACTTTGGTCTTCTTTTTTAAATAAAATTTTCTCAAAAATGACAGACTGTATGAGACCAAAGCTGACTTAAATATTGCTGTACCACAAGACATAATGTAAAATAAACACAGTTCCCTAGCACACTGAAGTATAGCACTTGTGAACACAGCTGTTATCTAAAACGACCTAGAAATACAATTTTTCTGATGGCATAGCAAAAGAAAACAAACATAGATTACAGCAGCCCTGCGTGATGTCAGGAAAAAATCAAACAGAACTACAGCTATGAATAGCTTTCCAGGACCTCAGCTGTTCGGGGTGCTTAAGGACAGCTACACATGGAGACAAATTGTCTCTAAGAGATGAAAGTAAATACTTGGACCCAAGGCAGAAGCTGCTTTTTTGGCACCCATCCTCCCCTCAGCACACCCACATAATTTGTTCCCCACAACATAACCAACAACTTAGATTCTCTACCACTAAACTCTTAACTAAATCTGAGTTACACAAAGAGTACTGCCAGGCTGTACAAAAGAGGTGTCTAATCACAGAGAGGGACAAGTTATATATTAGCTAGGAAGTGATTTGTAACAGCAAAATATATGCCAAACCTCTATTTTACACACTGGAAGTGCCCAAACTTCAGTTACTTGCCAAAAAATCCAACTTATCTTAGCATTTAACTAACACAGTGAGCATTTATTAGCGCTAAGCAGGCATCTCAGAGCAGCAGCTGTTATTTTACTTAGATGCAGGCTTAGGCTCTCATGAAGACTGTGTATATTACACAATTAGTTGAAAATAGCACAGAAGCTTAGAAGTTAATTTTCAGCCTTCTCTGTTTTAGGTCCCCAGTTATCAGTAGGCAATTGGAATAAGCATTAAGCCTCCAAAAGTCAGCAAATGAACTCACTTGGCCTAGAATTTCAATGCAGGATGTGAAGAACTGCCTTGTGGGAGGATTGCGTTGAGTTTCATCACACACATATTCAATCAACGTGAAAAACAAACTAATTCCAACCTTCTTAATTGCAGGCATAGGCTGCAACTTGTAGATATTGATTAAGGCCCTGGAAAAAAAAAATTAAAGGCGGCAGATTAAATTTATATATGGAAAATAATCTATGACAACAAAGGTTTCTTGCCAATATGTAGCCTTCAGATGGCTATTTCTGGCTTACATGATAACCAAGCACAGGTTCTTCTACGAAGACAGACAGAGACTTGGGGAATTGTTCAGTCTGCAGAAAAGAAGGTTCCAAAGGGACCTTATTTTGGTCTTTCAGTATCTCCAGGGGGCTACAAGAAAGCTGCTGAGGGGCTTGTTAGGATGTCAGGCAGTGACAGGACCAGAGGGAATGGATTGAAGCCAGAGATGGGTGGGTTCAGATGGGACGTGAGGCAGAAGTTCTTCCCCATGAGGGTGGTGAGACCCTGGCACAGGTTGCCCAGAGAGGGGGTGGCAGCCCCATCCCTGGAAGTTTTTTAAGGCCAGGCTGGATGGGGCTCTGGGCAGCCTGATCTAGTGGGGGATGTCCCTGCCCACGGCAAGGGGGCTGGCACTAGATGATCTTTAAGGTCCCTTCCAACCCTGACAATTCTATGATTCTACGGTTCACAGAATCACAACATGGCTGAGGTTGAGAGCGACACTGGGACCAACACCCCTGAGCAAGCAAGGCCACCTACAGCTAGTTGCCCAGGACTAGATGGCTTTTGGGTATTCCCAAGGACAGAGGCTCCACAACCTCTCCCGGTAGCCTGCGTCACCCTTCACAGTAAAAAAGTGTTTTCCAATATTCAGGGGGAACCTCCTGTATCTCAGTTTATGTCCACTGCCTCTTGTCCTTGGCTCCATCTTCCTGTGCCCTCTTCAGGAATTTCTACACATTGATGAGAACCTCCTGAGCCTTCTCACATCCAGGACAAACAGCCCCAGGTTTAGCTCAAGTAACTGTGCTGCCTGAAGTGGGCACCTCCAAACCTTAGAAAGTCTCCAAAGACAGAGTCAGAAAGCAAATCACCAACAGATTTTTCACAGTTCCAAGTGACTATTTTTCCCTCAAATCACACGACTGTCATGTTCTTAGACCATCTCAACTACAATTGTACTGCAAGAGAATCTAGGTCATTTTACTTAACAGGCTCAGCAATAAAAGAATGAAAGCAGGATCAACCTTCTCTTGTAATATTGAAAGTAAACATTTTCTTGAGCTCAAATCCTCATCTTCACTGAGTTGGAATTAAAAATATCTGAAGAACACGCAGTTCCACAGTTATAAATCCCCAAAACTATCTCATCCACAGAATTTTTCAGATTAATGATAAAGGATGAATATGTAGAAATAGCAACCAGATGTTTTACTTGTACAATGAGTACACTGTAGGAAGCCAGCTACACTAAAACAAGCCCACTGGAAACCCACAAGACTTAGAAGAATGGTGTTGCCTCTGGGATGAACTCTAAAAGGAAGAGGGCCTTGGACTAATCCTTTATTCACCATTACATCTCAAAGAAGTGGTAGTATATAGTCCTATTCCACCTCATGACTTTGTTTCACATATTGAAAAGTTATTTAAAACAATAACTCTCTGTTAGAGAACTACATCCTCCACTACAGCTGGGGAAAAACCTACAGAGATACTAAAAACATACAGTTTAGGCTATAGCAGTAGTACAAGTTGGACACTTCCTAAAGTTTAACGCAGCATCCCTGTCATCATTCAGCATGCTTTTGCAGGATTAGAATGTCTATTCTAATATACAGCACAATAAATCAAAGTAGAACACGATACTTTGGGCCTTGTTGAGGCTGAGTGACGATAGTACCAACAGTACCACCAATACCAATAAATAATACTAAATATTCCTTTAGAGGCCTGTGTAACAAACACACAAACAGGTTCCACATTTTAATTCTAACATGGAGGAAAAAAAAAAAATCTAAAACAGCACTACCTAAAAGAGTGTTTGAACAACCTACGTTATAAAATTTTCCACATGTACTGCTGCTTCCACAACACCCAGAGAAGGTGGCTTCGTAGCTTCTGCCTGCAGTTGTCTCACCTCTTTACGTAAAGCATGAAGCTGCTGGCTCACTGCTTCATTTTTATGTTTCCCTTCAAACTAAATGACAAAAAGACACATTTATTTCAGAATAGTATTTTTTGCTAACACTCTTCAATATTGCACTGTTTGTAAAAATGAAGCAGAGCCCAGTAAGAGAACTCTGAATATAGATGGTTTTGCCCCCCAGAGGTTTGATCAGATGTAGCAGATCGTGTCCAAGCACATATCCTTGGTCACGTTCCTATACAATTATCATGCACTAATATAATTCATGTCTTTCCTAATCAAAGGAGATTTAAAACATAGAGGGTAATCAATAAATTTGTATACCACGTTTTTCATGCTTCCATTCCTTGTGGTGAGCACATTCCCACATTGCAAAGCAGTTTAGAATGGATACTATGAGCAAGACAAATTTTATGCAACAGATTCCTCTTCAGTTGTTGATCTGTGTCACGTTTTGAGCATTACATACCAGATATTTCAGGTAATTATTGCACACATACGGATTTATTTGGCATACTGCTACCATTTTCATAACAATTCAGACGTTTCACTTTTCATTATCCATGTCCAACAGCCCCAAAACAGAAGCAATGCCATTTCTCTAACCTGGATGGTTATATGAGCTGCTCCCTGACAGCCTCTATTTGAGCTTCCCCGGCACTCCAAGTGGACAGTTATCTGCTCTTCTCGATTGACATACAGCTTAGGTATAGTGTCCAGTAGTTCACTATTAAGACCAACGTGCTGGGATTCCCAGAGAGCTGCAGTTCTGAAAAGTATTTATTATTAAAGTTACCAAAATCTTTACCGGAAACTGTAATGCTAAGAATTTATAAGCAAGAAACGAGATTTCAATTTAATGTGCTGTACAAAGACTTGTGACACTTTCCTAGAAAACAAAACATGTTACTAAATGAAACTGAGTTAAAACTTCAAAGTAATAGCAATTCAAAGTAATAAAGAAATAGGTTCATAACAATAAAATTATTCAACTCTGTGTGAGTTCTTTTTAATTACTCTTCAAGACAACCTGGAAGGAAATCAAATACATCACTTTCTGTAGGGAAGATAGTTTTACACCAGAGAAGAGCAGCTGGACTCTGGAATCACTCAGTGAAAAAAAAAAGTCACATCTAAAACTACTGCTGGAATTGTTTAGACACATCTCTTGGGCTTAGAAAGTTTTGCTTTGGTTTATAAGTGTTATTAATGACTACATTGGTGAGAACAGCCAAAGATTCATCAGCTGTGTTTGAAAACAATTCTATTGGACTCTCTTAGTGAGAATATCAAAAAAAGAAATTCCCTTTTACTCACAAAGGTAATAGTCCCAGAAATCACATTTATCTCTTGGGAGTTCCAGTGCTTCACATTGTAGGAACTACATTAGTGCAAAAGGGCTAACAAGCCGAGGCTAAAGGGAGACTTTATTTTAAGAGGTATGCGAAACAAGAAAAGAAACTGTGTAAGTTAGTTGTCAGCTGATGTAAATTCAGTCATTAGACATGACTTGGGTAGTCTCATCTTAGCTAAAGGAGTGGAATAACAACATGATAGACAAGAAGAAAGCAAAAAAATAATGCGATAAGAAGCAGAAGTCAAGTACTGACAGTCTTGTGCCAACGGCACAAATGAGGCTGCTGTCAAAGGCACCTGCAGACACTGCTAGACACATGAGTGAGGCAGAAGAAGAGCTATGTCTTACTTGGCATGTTGCTGCAAGATGTTAAGGTCCACACGCATGAGCTGAATTGCTTCTTTCTGACTTACTAGACTGCCAGAGGAAATAACTGGCACAGGAGCTTTCATCGTCTGGAGGGGAAGAGGGGGCTGGGGAGTATCAAACTTCTTCAAATTACTCATTATCCTCTCTTTAGCTAAAAAACAAAGCAGAAGTGAGTTTTGTCAGTAAGAAAAGCTTAGGAAAAACTCAAGGAAAACACTTTTTTGCATTAAACATTTTTAGCAGTAGACAAACATTTATGAGTTCCTCCCTCCAAAACAGAACATAATCACTTGATTAATCTTCCTACTTTTGCTGACAAAGTTATTTCACACAGTTCATTTTCATGATCAACTCCACCACACAAACATTAGGATCCAAGGCCCTCCTTGTTTCCCCAAGCCACTCCTACTTCTTCTAATTTTCTTCTTAGTATCCCATTAACTCCTCTCATCAGACAGAGGCTTTTTTCCTTATGACTCACCCTTGCCCCAATCTCAACAGCTCCATTCCTCCCCAAAGTATAGCCTCTCTTCAGGCCAGCTCTCTCTTCCCACTGATTCTCATTCAGTTCCTCTTCCCAAACAGTGCCAATTCTCCTATGAAGCCATTCTAGTCGCCTGCTATTCCCTCTCTCCCCTTTTTTAATCAGTCCCTCAAAAAATCCCATCTCACCATATCCTTAACAGACCTCCCAAGAGGTCTATCCCTTTTTGTGGTAGAACAACCCTTTCACAAGGGAAAGATATTGGGAACAACCACCAAAATAGAAAAAAAGAGAGATAATCCTTCTGGTTTCAGTTACAGTGGGTTGTGTCTTTGCTTACAGCTGTCTTCTGTCTAAACTCTGGGAAAATTCAGCCTGTCTAGAGCACGTTGTGTGCAGACAAATCTTTGTGGAGCTCACCCATGAACTTCCAGGAACATGACCTGCTGTTTTGTGGCATGGCAAACTAACGCCAAAACATCAATATTAGCCTCTCACATGAGCACTTCATGCATGGGCGTGACAAGACAAGGATAAATGCCTTCAAACCAAAAGAAGGTAGATTTTGATTAGATATAAGAATATAGTTCCTCACTGTGAGGGTGGTGAGACCCTGGCCCAGGTTGCCCAGAGCAGCTGTGGCAGCCCCATCCCTGGGAGTGGCCAAGGCCAGGCTGGATGGGGCTTTAAGCAACCCGAGCTGGTGGGAGGTGTCCCTGCCCATGGCAAGGGGGTTGGAACTACATGATCTTTAAGGTCTCTCCCAACCCAAATCAGTCTATGATTACACGAAAATACTGTACCCACAGAAAACCCAACATATTGACATCTTTATTCACAGATATTATCATGTTCCTAAAGAAAACAGGGCTTCAATGTGTTAATAATTCTTTCTGGCCCAGTTTCATTAGCAATATTCTTAATTTTTACCTGAAAATGGGTTGGTGAAATCTGTTTGCCCTGCAGAAACACCAGCTGCATGAGATTCAAGCTGAACCTGCAGCCAAAGGTTTAGAGCTTCCTGAAACTCATGGTGTATGAGTTCAACATTGACATACTCCATCCACAAATCCTAAAGCACAAAAGAATGAAATTATCATTTCCAGTTTGGTCAGTATCATATACTGAGCACCCATCTCAGTAGCTAAGGAATTAAAGTACATAGAATTAGACCCTGTTTTAAGGCACAGGAAAATTACTAGGGGGGGAAAAGAAGAAAAGAAATTTATACTGAAGAAAAAAGCTGCTGAATTTTTATCACATATACAGATAAGCCACTGAAAAGCATTCATGACACTTAGAGAATGAGTCTGACAAGTACACTTAGTATCATTTCTAACAAGAGAGAGTACAGATTAATAAAACTTGGTTCCTAAAAAAACAAGAGAGGAAACCAAGACAGTCTAAAAGATCATGGCATGATTAACTGCAATCAGGCTAAAGCAGGCTGCATTTCCAGTAGTTGCACCCACTGGAGGAACAAAACCAAAGCAGGCATGAGGAAAAATCCCCCTCTCTCTCAGTTTTATTTGTATTAGCTGCTTAGGCTTACTGGGCAGAATAATATGCACTTCCCACTAGCTAACTTATATTTGAACCTGACATACTACTGACTACCAACATGAGCAGATTTGAGTTCCCGGTCTTTTTGTCATTTAAAGTTCCAACTTCAATAATTCTCTAAAATTATCTTGGAACATAAAACGAATTACAAAGTAGTACAGACTAAGTACCGTGTGCTCATTGAGATAATAAATCTACTCATGAATCCTTGTTCAAATATAAAAGGAAGGCAATTTGGGATAACACAGGATTTTTAGGAAAGAAGTTAGAGCTGTGGAAGTATCTTACATGCTGTGCATGCATCATATCAGACCAGTGATATCAAGACTCTCTTTACTGTACAGTTTTAACAACTGAGGTGACTTTTGGATCCCAGATTGCCTGTGTCGTTAGCACTTCACCTGTTGATTCTGCATGACTTTAGCAAGTCTGTGTGCATCATACTGCCTCGGTAAAGAAGGAATGTATATGTCTCCTTTCTGGAAACTCTCCTCTTCCAGCCACAAAACAAAAACATTACAAAGCCTGAGAAGAAAAAACAAAAGAAAAATGAAATAAATCATGTGAACTTTAATCGTATGCACAGCATGTACCATTCCAGGGTTTCAAGTTAAGGCAACAAATAATGCTCAAAGGTGACAAAGCTCAAAAAGTGGATGTTCCATAGGCTTTGTGATTAGTTTACTAAGTGTCAATTCAAACATCAGCAGTGGAAGGAATCTATTTATAAAAATATGAAAAGCAATAACAGAGTAACAGGACAAAATCTGAAAAGCAAAATATTTATGCAAATTAACAGACAACCCAGGACGAGAATAATCTGTATGTCAGGGAATCTCATCTACAGCCTCATTCAAAAGCCGGACAGAAAAACCAGTGCATTTGAGCAAGTGTAGCTTCTCACCCCATGCTCTAGATGGCCTGCTCCAAGAGGTCACACCTGAGTTACATCTTCTAATTTCTCTTCAGACTCAAATTCATAGTTAGTTTATTCTCATTCCCTCCTCTGCTAACACTGTACTTTAATAGAAACATATGTCTGTCTTCAACTGCTACCATTCTATCGACGTTTTCACGATCATGCCATCCAAGCCTTCCTGTCAAGGAAAAACTAGAACGCCATTAAATCATCACACTGTGGTGTTAAATATCACTAGTAAACTCCTGTTTTCCTATATAAGTGGTATTGGTGAAGAAATGAAAGTAGTCTAGTTCCAACACTCAACCTCCATGAACATTACCAACATTTTCCTTCTAGGTGGTCATTAAACATCCTGAGCATAAGATTTACTGTTTTTATGCCAGAGTGGAGAACTCCTCTGAAAAGGAAAGACTCAAGTATCTATCAAATTACACCCAGTGAGCAGCTCTGGATTATTTTTCACAAATGAGCAAGGGGGACTGGTGATCTCCTTTGTTTCTTCATACAGTACCTACTGATTGCTGTGTGGAGGGAAGTTCTTAAAAGAAGCTCAGATCCCATATGTCTGAATCCCCTGAACAAGGGATTCTTTCTCAATAACTCTTTCAACTGACTTCTGGGAATATTCAGATACTGTAAAACTGCAAACATTTCTTAAAGTAGAATTCTGAGACCAGAAGTCATAGAATCATAGAATATGCTGGGCTGGAAGGGACCTTTGAAGGCCATCTCCTCCAATCCCCTGCAGGGAGCAGGGACATCTCCCACTAGACCAGGTCACTCAGAGCCCCGTCCAACCTGACCTGGGATGTCTCCAGGGATGGAGCCTCCACCACCTCTCTGGGCAACCTGTGCCCCTGTTTCACCACCCTCACTGTAAGAAACTTCTTCCTAACATTTAATCTAAATCTACCCTGCTCTAGTTTAAACCATTGCCCCTTGTCCTGTCACACCCTTGCGAACAGCCTCTCCCCAGCTTTGCTCCAGGCACTGGCAGGCTGCTGTAAGGTGTCCCCAGAGCCTTCTCCTCTCCAGGCTCAACAAGTCTCCGTACAACAGAACCACAGACTTCTGAAAAGCACAATTACAGTTCTGGTGTGCTCAAGATACGCAGCTCTTAGAAGTGACCAGCCCCTACGGAAGGGAGTGATCATCAGCTGAGTCGCAGTGAGTGACCACGACCATCTCCCTGCTCTAGTCCAACACGACACACTCCTAAGCTAAGGTTCTGATTAAGCGACCATCACTTTCCAGCTGGCACAGATCAGACTAGTCAGAGCTCAACTTCAGCGTGCTAACTGTGTAAACTGCACTGACTGAATCATGACACAGGCTGCCCACAGCAGTACTGGAGTCCCCATCCCTGGACATATTTAAAAGCTATGTAAATGTCACACTCAGGGACATGGGTTAGCGATGGACCTAGCATTGCTGAGTTAGCAGTGGGACTCTATGATCTTAAGGACTTTTCCAACCTTAACAATTCTATGATTCTATGTGAAGTCCCCAGTTAATTCCCTGATGAAGTAATCTTACTCAGATATAAATTTATGCCCTGGCCTGTAACAAAAAGATGTATACATACAGAGTAGCATTTTACATTTATAGTTGGTGACATAAATATCAGTAGTAGATATGTATAATCAACAAATATTTTATCAGCAAGGGGATACCATTAATTAAAAAGCAAAGCTCCCCACTACAGGGAGCATCAAAAATATTTTACTTTTAGCAGTAAAATCAGCCCCCTCTCAAACAAAACAAATTGTACCAAAGGAGGAACAGATTTGACCACAACTGTGCACTAACAAGTGCCTGCAGTACATCAACGTCAGCAAAGTACCACGTTCCATCATATCTCCCACAGCCAAGGTTGTGCTCTAGTAGTTGCTCAGGTGGTTGCATTAAGATTGAACTGGGCAGGTTTTTCTTTACCTGACAAGTTCCTTATGTAGTTCTGGTGAAGTCAGGTAATCTGGTGAGCAGTTTGCCTTCTCTGGTGATCTGTCACTGCCCTCAGCAGGACTCTCCACTCTCAATGCTTTACTGGCAGCATGGTGGAAGTCTGCTACCTCTATTAAGCGCTGCTTCATTTCATTTAGTAAGGTAACGTGAGCTGCACTCTGGAAAAAACGCCTTCCGATACATCCATCTACAGGTAATCTAAAAATGAACAAAAAAGCATAACAAAGTCTTGCTGCAAGCATCAAATCAGCACCTCTGCAACTAAGCTGACTCTTTAGAGAAGCTGCTGGTGCTCACTGCTTTCAGGTGCAGTCTTAGTATGAGGCACTTAATCTCACTCACAGTGCAAATTTAGTGTTGGCTAATCTGCAAGATCATGATCAGACTCACCCATACTGTGGTCCTGGTCGGTGCAGGTAAAGGAGGAAGAATTTCTGCCAGATGAGCGGCATGAGAGGGTGATCAGCAGGGGTAGCAACCGCCTGGTGGGCCCAGCGGTAAATCATGAGCCTCTGGAGGGATGGCACAATGGGCAGCTTCAGTTGAGTCTGTGCCTTCTGCAAAAAGAACATTTTCAGATGAGTTCTGCAGCGGTTCCCTGTAAAAGGCTGTCATAGGTTAACTTAACAGATTAACAAAGCGTGAAAACTCAGCAATTACAGAGGAGAAAACTTCAGTTCACGCATTTGTTACAGGTCTTAAGGGAAGAGCTGCCCAGCTCGCAGTCTTGTTGGACAGCTGTAAGAGAGCAGTGTTACACCCCTGATGCTTAAAAAAACCCCCCAATGTCATGGCTCTGTGATGCAAGGCCAAGATACAGTCTACTGGTGTTAATTACTGTACTTCCTCACAGAGATAGATGGTCCTGCTCAAATAAAATGGGTGATGTTAGAGGACAAAGCAGCAACACATCATGTTTCAATCAGTAAAAATAACAGTCTTAAGCCATGTGAGGATGTGGAATACTAGAGTGTGCTGCTTTCAGCTTTTTCCAAACTATGTTCCATACAGACCTACTGAAAGTCTAAAAACATAATGTAAAACCAATGTGAAAAAAGAGAATACAGAAGGGGAAAAAAGTAAGAAGTTACTCTTTTAGCAAAAGCAGAACAAAGACAAAGTAACACATGAGCAGCAGCACTCCATATTAGCAGACGGCTATTCTCCAGACCGACTACATCTTTAAAAAGTCACACACCAGGCTCACACAGACTGTGCCTGAAGCAGGGGAATGGGAGGTTTTTCCAAGTTCCCAAGTCTCAGCACAGACCTCGGTGCTACCTCACCCACACACCAGACCTCAGGAACCCTCAGCACTCTTTTCCACACACCCTCACACATCATCTCGCTTTTTTCCAGCTAAATCAAGACGTACACACTAAGGGACAAATGTTCTCCAGACTAGCCTCCAAGGATACATGACATGTACCAGTCTGGACATAACCCAAGCAAACCTATTTTCATAGAGCTTCTAGATTACCTTCTTCATTAAAACACACTGAAACAGTTAAGATGAAGGAACAGACCAAAAGTTGTATTTTTGAGACAGCTTTGTTTTCCACTTGCTTCATTCCAGAATTTCTAACTGAATCAGGTAAAGAACCTGGAAAAAGTTGCAATATTGCTTGAAGTACCTCTAAGGGCCTTGTTAAGGGAGAGCTCTAAACAGTTCATAAAGTCTTCAAAAATATTTCAGCAAGTATAGAGAAAAGTAAAGTCTAGATTTTCGCAAAATTCATATCCAAGAGATGTTCTTTAAAACACAGACACATTTTCCCCCCTTGTAAAATAAGAATATCTGTACTCCCCAACTCAGTGGTACAGAATAAATCCACTGAAACTGTGAGGCATCCAGATGACCCATAAAGTGACCCACTAAATAGTGAGTGAAGTTTTCTGTAAATAATGGTATGTGAAAAAAACAGATATTTGCATGGTAGTTTTAAAATGTTCAACTCAAAATGTAAAATAAAACTTTCAAGATATATTTTCTCCCAGAAAGTCAGATAAAGTATCAGTTATGCTTTTATCCTGGTAAGAAAAAATAGACAATGCAAGGCAAGATTTTTCTCTAGTAGTTCTCTCTGATAAAAGTGAACAGTTCCCTCACCTTCAAAGCTTGATCAGGAGTCAAAGCATTGATAACCAACTCCCCCTCCACAACCCTGCGGAGCTGTGAATCTTCTTCAAATATTGACTCCATATTTAACACCACCCAGGCAAACCAGACCTGTAAAAACACAATAACAGAAACATCGATAACAAGATGGCAGGGATATGCCTTTTCCAGATTCTCATTACAAAGATGCAAAAGCAGTATCACGTCTCAGCAAGAAAACTGGAAAAAAACCCAGCCCAAACCCAGTAGCTTTCTCCTTAAGTACATCCAAACTCCCTCTTTGTATCCTAGGAAAGAAGGGGGGAAAAAAGGGACAACTGACAAGTTCTAGAAGAAACATCCTACTCAAACCCAGTAAAATAAGATCTCCTCTCTCCCACCTGCACTACGTAGCTTCAGCTGGGGTAATGCAGGTTTGGGTTTTTTTAATTTTAGCTCAACCAAGGAACTTGCTTAAACAGAAAGAAAGCAACTAGTACTGAAAATATTTATTAGGCAAGACAATCTAATAGAAGAGTCAGGTTCACGTATTTTCTTTCATTAAATATATCAAGAACAATTTAACAGAAGAATCTGACTCCTAAATCCTACTGTGTGAATCCTTGGATACAGATAAGAAAGTCTCTCTATGCAAAATGTCCATGTTCTCTTCAGTGTAATAAACTCAGTGTTCTAAATTAGGATTTTCTCACAAGAAAACTCACAAAACACTGGGATAGGAAGAAAAGGGAACAAGAGAAAAATATGCAGAAGCAAGGAAAAAAAAAAAGCAAACAAACAACTAGACACTTGTGTATTGCTTACCCGAGGGTTGTTCATACAACACGATCCAATCACTCACCTGAGAGGAATTGGCACTGCCTTCAACAAAGGAAGGTGTCACGTTGCCTGCCACAATCCAGCTAACAAGCGAAGACAGCAGACCTTTGTCACAATGATAGCCCAAAGCATTCTGCATGGAAACAGAAAGCATTTGAGTTTGGGGGTTTTTTTGGTTTTATTTTTTAATAAGCAGTCTAAGAGATGATTTACAAGCTACAGGAATGTCACTCTACCTTCATCCAGGTTCCTTCCTGTCTCACATTGCTACTTCCCAACCCAAGCTCAGCTAGACACCAATGAAATGCCTGTTTGTACTTCACTTCTTCTCCCCTGAAAAGATTCTACTATACTAAGTGCCTGTTTTGGTTTTTTTTCAAGAGGCCAAGCTCTATTTTTCTTCTAAACATACACTCAAACTTTTCAAAGGCAAAGACCACAGACTAAATAACTCAGATGAATGAAACCTCTGTTTCAAGCAGGATGGTGGTACTATCATTATCATATTTAAATACCAGACATTTCATTAACCTTGACCTACTCAGAAACTAATCACATAAATAAACCCACTATCATTCCTCATCATGATCATTCTTGTTGCATTTCAGGAAAACATTTTCACATTAAAACTAGAATAGGCAACGCAAGAACTGTTCATTTGCTCCCTAGCCACACCAATACACCATGCCTATTTATCTACCTTGTGTTGCTGGTAAAGCAACTTTTGTACACAGTCCTCTTGACTGTACTGAAAAGCAGCTTTACACAAGTCATCCAGTAAGAAAAGTGTCGCCCGGTCCCTGTGCCACAGCTGCTGGCTGGTGAGGAGCTGAACCCAGAACTCGAGCACTGCAGTCGGCCCCACTCCATGTGGCTGGTCACTTTGAAAAATGTGAGTCTGCCAAATTAAAGAGTGCAATTACTCAAGAGAATGTAGCTTCCATTAAAGCTTAAGAATTTACTGAAGAACTGTTTAACTTGCCTAAGGCTGTGGGCCTACCCTTAAAATAAAGAATTCACAACAATGCTCTCTGTGTTTACGGAAGAACAGCTTTGTCATCTCCAACCTCCAAATTTCTGCAGATTCTGCAGCCTGTAGAGCTAAGCTTCGTGCACAGTCAGCTAAAACAGATCCAAAAGCCAAAACTGGGAACCCCTGTGACATGCTGTTGCTGCAAAAGGACTTCCCAGAGTAGCTCTCT